AGGTGCAGTGACATTTTGCAGTTTTCCCCGGGGACCTCTGCTATTCCTGCCAATAACATCAGACAATGACTTCTCTCCAGAAACCCTTCTCTACAGTGGCAAAGACTGACCACTGTGGCACGGGAGACTCCCACCTACAGGGAGGGGGTCAGAGTCCAACTTTACCTCCGTGAGAGGCACACATGTTTAAGCTGTGCAGGGATAACAACGCCCTTTGATTTTAGATCCCTAATATTCTGAGTGACATTTTGAGAATTCTTATAAAGATTTGAAAAACTAATCATTAGAATGCATTCTGGTGAGACTGAAATGTTGCTGCCTTTTCATTGCCTCACCTGATCTGATGGGGTACCGGCCGGTCAGGAAGGCAGCCCGACTTGGGGTGCACATGGAAGCAGCTGCGAGATGCTGGGTGAGCCTCACTCCCTCATTTGCCAGGCGGTCAATATTAGGTGTGCTGCAGACCAAAGGAGAATTCGGCAGGTGAGTTTCTAAAAATTCTCTATACAATGATCGAGGATCAAAGCTATTCTAGTTGACTCTATTTCTGGTAAACCTAAAATTCATTTTTTTTAAACTTTAATCTCTCTACTTCCTTAGATGCATTGACGGTTAAAAGCAAAGGGAAATGTAAGTTTAAAATATATGTTTAGTCAAAACTATTACAAATGAATACAGGTCACTCAGTATACAGTTTTATGAGTCTGAGAAAAAAATGTATTTCCATGAAAAAATTAGCCAATTTCTTCTTATCAAGGACCTAAAATTAATGGGTAATTTAGAGTAAATAAAGTTTTAATGTGTTTCATATTTTTTTAAGAGACAGTCTCTTGCTCTGTTGCCCAGGGTGGAGTGTAGTGGTGCAGTTATAGCTCACTGCAACCTGGAATTCCCTGGGCTCAAGTGATCCTCCCACCTCAGCCTCTCAAGTAGCTAGGTCCACTGGTGTGCACCACCATGCCCTACTACTTTATTTAAATTTTTATTTACTTTATTTTTTTTTTTTTTGGAGAACAGGCCTCCCACTCTGTTACCATTCGCTGGAGTACGGTGGCCACGATCCCGGTCCCTTGTAATCTCCGCCTCCCGAGTTCAAGTGATCCTCCCTGCCTTCCGCTCACCCGACATCGCACTGGGATTCAACACGAGTGAGCACCACGCCCGCTGGTGTATTTTTAGTAAGAGACTGAAGGTGTTACCCCCACTGTTGGCAAGCTAGTCTTGAACTCCTGACCTCAAGTGAATCCGCTTTCCCCAGCCTCACTAAATGCTGGATTGCAGGTGTAGACACCCCCACCGTGGGCTTCAAAGCTTTCTATCGCAAGAGATACCAGGTTTGCTATTTTTCAGCCCAGCTCGGTCTCAAACTCCTCGGCCTCAAATGAATTCTCCCAACCTCAGCATCCCATCTATATACCTACTTTTACTGGTAAAATTGCACCTATTTTATAACCAATTCAGGTGACATTTTCTGGGAGTTTAATTTATTTCACCCCATCTTTGTCTAATACCTCGTTGCAACAATTTTGTAAAACTTGACAGAATTCTACAGGTTGCAAACAAGACGTGCCTGTTTCTCCTCAAAGCTAAAGCATACCAATCTAATCCCCATGCTATAACAACATTTTTTTCCCACAAATCTCACGAGCAAGGCATTATAATGAAGGTGAGCGTGATGGCTCACCGCTGTACCCCGCCTTTGGGGAGGCAGCGAGAGGGCTGACCACTTGCACTCGCCGACCCACAGTGGCCAATATGCAAAACCCCAACTCTCCAAAAAAAAAAAAATTAGACGGGCCATGGGCCCTCATGCCCTGTAGTCCCACGCTGCTCAGGAGGCTGAGGAGGAGGATCACTTGAGCCTGGGAGGTCAAGCTCGCACGCCTGAGCCAGATCATGTGCCACTGCACTCCAGTCTGGATGCACAGAGTGAGATCCCTGCTTAAAAAAAAAAAAAGAAAAGAACAGACAAAGAAGAGATAAAGAGGAAGAACGAAAAAAAGGAAAGGAAAGGCAAGAAAGAAAGAAGAGAAAGAGAAGAAAGAAAGAGACAAGAGAACGCAAAGAAAGAGAACGCAGAAGAAGAAAGAGAAAGAGAGGAAAGAAAGAGAGAGAGAGAAAGAGAAAGAAAGAAAAGAGAAAGAGAAGAAAGAGAGCAGAAAGAGAACCCGAAAGAAAAAAGAAAGAAAGAAAGAAAAAAGAAAGACAGAAGAAAGAAAGAAAGAAACGAGACCAATGCCTTTCAATCAACAATTATATGGCTTAAATATATGACTAGCTGTGATCCGCGATTCCAGAGAACATGTTTTTAATCACACTAACAGACTGCTATGTGGTTTTTCACAAGTGCCCAGATTGGGTCTATCCAACAGAGAGTAGAGAAATAAAAGAGCCGGGGA